TGATTGCTAGCTTCAATGCCCAGAACTTGTATGCAGTATTTAAAGGTCTGAATTGTGCCAGAATTCCTTATCCATATACCCTGTCTCAGTTACTTAGAAATTTTTCAAGCCAATGCATCAGTATACCAGCCAGGCAGGGGCGGACTGACAACTCATGGGGCCCCCGGGCAATAGGGGATCATGGGGCCCCTGTGTCCTTGCCAAAACTCAAAAAAGCCTATGAAAAAAAGTACCAGGGGCATCTCATGGGGCCCCCTACTGACTCCGGGACCTCGGGCAGTGCCCAAGTTTCCAAATGGTCAGTCCGCCCCTGCAGCGCAGCCAGGCAACTAGCATTTTCACAGATCAAAAATGACAGGTTACCAGACACCAGTTCGCTTTGTTGCACGCCCCCCCCCCCCCCCCAAGGGGGCTGCCATAATGGCACGTGCACTTATGCAGACTGGACACAGACACAGCCTGCTCTCCTGTATGGGCAGTCAGAAATAAACAGACCACCTGTCCATTTATATGGTGTGCCAGGAAGCGCCTCATCCACCAGTGGGAGAGGATGTCCATTGAGGACTGCCGCAGACTGATCCTCAGTCTGCTCAGGGACTATACCTTGATGGACTTTAAGGAGGAAGAGGACGTCTGAAGATCTCCCCTTCCCCCCACTCCCCCTTGAGTGTCTTTGTCCCTTCAATAAAGCTTTGGGCCTGTGTCCCCTTCTTTTTCCCCTCCCCCCCACACACCCGATGCTTATTGTAAAGTGTAACATTCGTATTTTACATGATTTGTAATTGCAATCGTAGAAAATGTTTTCTAAGCATGCTATGGTCTCGGGGTAAGCGGCGTTATGCATGACGTGTTGGTCGGGGGATTCGTTCGCCACGCACATCACGTCAGGCATCATACCGCTGAGCGAATGTATTTATTGAATGTATTTATCGTATGCCTGGAACCATATTGCAATGTGGTGCGCTGCGTCGCAGTATAGGGTGAGATGTACCCCGATTACGAGTATCATGTTTTTTTATACTTCTGTAATAAAGTATCTTTTTCAATCAAAAAAACCTGTCCGTTTATACCTGAATGCCATCCGATCCACTAGATACAATGAGATTGGATCCCCATCCATCCGTTTTTAGCAGATTGGATTGGATGGCAGAGGGTGTAAATGTCTACTGCTGCTCCACAGAGGAGAATGGAGGGTCTTCTTAAAACCTCCCTGGCGGTATGATTATTTCAGATTTTTGGTGCTGAAAGCGGTACCATTATTTTGCATGGAAATTTGGCGTTTTAGATTGTAGGCCTGTAATTCTTAGGAATAACTCACTGAAATCTGTCCAAACAAAAGTCTAGTAAACATCCCGGGTAGGATAAAACTTGAAACACGAAATCATAAATTATAATTTAATAAATAATCATAAAAAATAATAATATAATAATACATTTAATTTAATAATATAATCAAACCAAAAATACTGAAATTTGAAATAGAGCGCCAAGTTCGCACATCACTGATCTTAGTCGCAAAATCGTTTTCAGTGTCTGATGACGAAATTCCCCACGAATCATTATCACTCAATTCTGCAAGTGGTTCTAATTTACTATTGCTGTTCTCTTGCTGGTCTAAAACCGCTTTTGACCTAAAGGGATGCTTTTTGGACGTCATGGACATTTCTCAGTTTCCAGGTAGAAAGAACAGTAAATATGCAGGCAGGGCACAGGACAAAGCACTAGGGACAAAATGTATGTGAAATGGGTTGATACAGTAATGTTTTACTATGTGATTTTAGTGATTTTTGTGAATGTCATTTTTTTTCATTTTCAAATTTCCCGCCAGTTCCGTTCCCCGTACGTCCCAACGCTCGCAGGGGACGGAACCCAGATGACAGATGCCGGCATCCGCCGGATTACATTGCCGGGGACACTGCAGGAGGGACATTGCGGGAGCTCAGGACAAGGTAAGTGATCGAGGGATCCTGGAGCAACACTTCATGGTAAGCCTGAGTGTAGCTCGGGTTTACCGCTTGTGGTATTGAAACTTTACCCCGAGCTACACTCGGGAATACCGCCAGGGAGGCTACGAAAAACTGACAGGTGGACCAGATCGATCTGCTCATGTGAAAGGGGCCTTAGGATGGAAGTCCACCTTATTGACTGATATAAGGGCTGCTTTACATCTATGCATTGCAGGAACGCACAAATTAATGCATGTGTTACTGTATTCCGCTGCAACGCTCATTATATGTGGTAATGCATTGTGGTCCTATTCATTTTGAATACCCCTAAGGAAACACAATTGCCTGAATGCGCTGCATACCATGACAATGCACTATGGTGTGTTGAAAAAAGTTTGTGAATGTAAATATGTTGGACTTTTTGGTATGTCTGAACCTTATTGATTTTAATTGCCTTAATGCAGCACACACTAATGTATGCCATAACATGCATTAACGCATGTGAAATAACATACCTGAATAAAAAGGACATGGCCCTGAATGTAAACCTGTACTTAGGGATATACATATTATACTACTATTGCAGACCTCTTTCTGAAAATGCTAATTGCCTGGCTGTAACTGTCTTAGGTACTTATGGACTCTGATCTGTCTAAAGCTGGCAATATGCAGAGTAAATTTCAGCTGGTCCCTGATAAAATGGCTGAAACTTGCTCCATCTGTGGCCCTACCTGCACTCTCCCACCCCACATTCTTCATTTGAAAAATGAAAGGAGGTGGACAGAAAATCATAGGCTGATCAGAACCTGCATCCAATCAGCTGCAGGTACTGTTTGAGTATTTTGACAGCCAACAGCACCAGCTGTCTTAGTGGAAAATTTGTCCATCTGTGCTATATAGTGTGGAGAGAGGAATCTGTTAATTCAGCCATAGATGGATCAAACCTCATTTGGTTTAGTAGGGATCAGCTGACATTCGATCCATCTATGGGCAGGCTGGTTGTAATTAAGTGCATCCATCAATCAACTTCAGTACAAACTGCCTGTCAACATTTTTGCATGCTGTCAGAACACAATAGCACTACGGGAGGGATTCCTCTATCAACACTGACTATGTTGGGGGGATCGAGAAAATTGCATCATCTGTGTCTTACCTTGTTTTTTTTTTATTTATTTATTGTTGTTCAGTTGGTAGGCTAAACAAAAAAAATCTGTGTGTATAGCCAATTTCATAGCAAAGTCAGAACTTCTAAACTGCATACAGTTTCTAAGTCATGTGCTGGAGCCATTTGGGCTCTATGACAGCTAGACACCCAGTATTTTAAAGTGGAGCTCCACCCAAAAGGGAAGTTCCCCTTTAAGGACTGCTCCCCCGCTCCCCATTAAGGATTAGCACCTTTGGGGGGCGGGAGCGGGTACCCGAATTTGACAGGTACCCGCTCCCACTTTCGGTCCAATCGCCTAGGCGATCGGAAGGTGTTCTCCCTCCCTCCTTCCCTGTAGTCTTTTGGGACACGTGACAGGTCCCAGAAGACTACAGGACCATTCACAAAGCGCAGTGCTTATCGCGCATGCGCAGTGGGTACCCGGGTGTGAAGCCGCAAGCTATCACAGCCGGTTGCCCACACTGAAGATGCCGGCCTCCTGGAATACAGGGCGGCTGGTGAAACGGACTGCAGGGGACACACCGCAGGACCGAGGGATAAGTAAGTGGCTATTTTTTAAAAGTCAGCAGCTACAGTTTTTGTAGCTGCTGACTTTTATTTTTTGACAGGGTGAGTGAAACTCCGCTTTAAGAATCAACAATACTAGCCTCTATTCTTTACTACTACCTACTACTTTTAAACAATGCATCCATATGCTGTGATTGTTGATAAATTAGATCAGTAGTTGCAGGCATACCAGAATTATCTCAGAATTTAATCAAATTTTGCAAACCAGGCTCACAATTTGCATGGGCTTGGTTTGAGCTAACACAAGTGGGGACTTAATCACTTATACCAGTGTGATAAATAATCTTTTCTGTCTAAACATACCCTAAAAGCCACTCTGTAAATAGATTTCAGTGAATGATTGATCATTGATGTAAGTGGCTGCCATGCATCTTCCAAATATGATAATAAATTAATTTTCAAATAACCACTTCAAATGTTGCTTCATAGGCTCACTAGACTTGTTCAATAAAACAGTACAAAGTGCAGTAAGTAACAAGTTAAATGTATGCTGTACTGTGCTCTTGAACTGCCATCTGTAAACTATATTCTACTTGGATATTATGTCCTGCTTTCACACATTGGCATTTGCTCACTATTCATTGAATAAGCGCCTATAACATGCACTTCTGCAGAAGAAAGTCTTTACATTTTCCTTGTTCACTGTAGTTCGCAGAATAACAATAAGCAGTAGTTTATATTAAAAAAGTATGTGAATTACTGTTAACACATCTTCATTTCTATTGATTAATCAAGATAAAACGTTTGCATTAAAGAAAACCGTCAATGAACTTTGAATTGTAACTGAAAATCTTTTGCATTTTTAATTGCCGAGTTGTAAATTCTTCATCCTTATCTAAATATGAGTCAGCGCACATATAAGCTGTGTATTGTGCCAACCTCCGTTGCTTTAACCCCCTCGTTGCTTTAGGGAAAACTTGCAAACAGTTCTGCAGATGCTTATAGTGGAGAGACTAGAATAGAAAGCTGCACTTTACAGGAATAGAATGGTGAGCTGCATGATAAAGTGTGTTTGCAGACTTGTACAATCGATGTCAAGTAGTGATTGTGTGTGTCCAGACTGAGAATGTTGGAGTGGTCAATGGGAGGGACTGTGCAGAAGGTGTGGACATAGCTACAGGTAACAGACTGCAGATGGCAGCCAGCCACACCTAGCTGTGACATACCAGTAAACTGATCCCTCTGCCCCTGCCCCCTTCCCCCAGCCCAGAGCCAGCTCCAATATAAAGGAGAAGCTGCAGTTTCAGAAGCACTGGATCCGTCAGACAGACCAGCAGCACCAGCCTCTTCTTCTCCTCTCATCATCATCTCCATTTGGCACAATGTCTTTTTCACAGAGCTTCAGCACCCGCTCTGCTATCCCCCAGGGAGGCGTTAGCTCCATGAGAATCAGCCAGACCCGTAGCTCCAAGGGTTCAGGCTTTGGAAGACCAGGGAACTGGAGCAGCTCCAGCTTGTCTAATGTGGGCTCAGTGAGAAAAAAGTGTTTCCTATGGTGTGTCCAGTGCCAGGTCTGGCATTGGTGGCGGTTCTCTTTATGGCGTTGGTGGTGGAGCTGGATTCGGTGCTGGCTATGGAGGTGGATTCGGCGGTGGCTCTGGCTTTGGTGGTGGTCAAGTAGCTGGACCTGGAATCCATGAAGTAACCATCAACCAGAACCTGCTACAACCCCTTAATCTGGAGATTGACCCCAACATCCAGGTTGTTAGGAAGGAGGAGAAGGAACAGATCAAGACCCTGAACAACAAGTTTGCTTCTTTCATTGACAAGGTAAGGAAATATCCTTTAAAGAATAATGAATGTATCAGTATTTTTGTGATTGTTCAAGCCAGGCTCTTGGCTAATGCATTTTAGTAAAAAATCTTGTGTGTATTTAGTAAGTTATGTTTCTGCAAAAATACCGTTGCCACATTTGAAATAATAGATGAAATCAGATAATTGTGCATAGATTTAAATGCTATACCTTTTTACTCATTCATTGTACTCAGTAGCGGAATATGCTGTAATCTATACCAAAATGAATTTGAACTGCTTCCATTATGTTCTGTTCTTGCTGCAGCTCAGTACAGTAATTATAGCCCTAGCTGCAGCAGGTGATGTGTTTAAAACTCTGCACTGTCTAGACCGTCTTTACATTTCCTTTTTGCTTGCTGTTATTAAAAGGTCAGATTCCTGGAACAGCAAAACAAAGTTCTAGAGACAAAATGGGAACTGCTGCAGAACCAAAAGTCCGCCAAGGCCAGCAACATCGGCCCCCTGTTTGAGGCTTACATTGCCAATTTGAGGAGGCAGCTGGACAGCCTGGTCAATGACAAGGGCAGACTGGATGGAGAATTCAGGAACATGCAAGATCTGGTTGAGGATTTCAAGAATAAGTAAGTAATCAGATTGTTAATACATGGTGCAGTATATTCATGAGGGAACCTGCTACCGCTTTATAACTGTAGAAGAATCTGTAACTGTACCTAACTTTTTAAAGATGGGAAGCACCTGCATTAACCTAATGATATATTATTATAAAGGCTCCTGTATGGATCAGCGCCACACCCTTGCTGTACCAAAGAAAGCTGGAAAGAGAGGGGAGGGTTTGAAAACTCCTGTGTTGGCCAAGCAAAGGCTGACAGGATCTAAAGCAAACAATGCAGATAAACCCAGGGTGTGTCCCTTACAGGAAAGTCAATAGCAGGTAATCTATATCAGGTGAAATCTAGATGTCCACTGCTAGCAAATACAAAAGGCTTGGCATCAACACACAAGTATCAAAGTTTCAGTTCAATCATTGCTGCCTGCTTTTATCTTCCTGCATTTTCTACATAGCATTGTCCACAGAGCAAAGGACCACACACACAGTCACATACATGTTCATTCATACATTTTAGAAAAAAAATTTTTTTTTTTTTTTTTTTGCAGTTATCAGTGTGAATGCATGCAATACTTGGTTAAAAGTTGCATACACAGATTATATCCTATCCATTTGTATACCTGTTATTTCACATTTACAGCCAGCATTAGCAAGCCGTGCACCAATTCCTTATAACAGCTCAGCCCATTGTTGGAAACTTCTCATACAAACACAGTCTCCTGCCAAAGTTTATAATGAAAGCTCCCTTGATACATAAAAACAGCACAAAGGCTAACCTTTTCCTGTCTAGTGAAAGTTAAAAAAAAAAAAAAAAAAAAAAAAAGCATCGGAGGAAGGAAGAGTGGAGCCATTTCCCCCAGCTACTAGATTCCATAGCATATGTTCTCACGGCAGGTTGCTGAATGAATGCATTGCTATGAGCAACATCCTCATTTTTTGTCTTTAGGTTTCGTAAATGTGACGATCAGAGTTTTGCTTTTAGCTATATTAGTCCTTGTTGAAACAATGGGGTTGATTTACTAAAACTGGAAAGTACAAAATCTGGTACAGCTCTGCAGAGAAACCAATCGGTTTCCAATTTTTTTTTTTTTTTTTCCTCAAAGCTGAAAGTGGTTGTAAAGGTTCAAGGTTTTTTACCTTTATGCATGAAGGTAAAAAACCTATGTGCAGTAGTGCCCCCAGCCCCATCGCAATCCAGCTTTGGCTGTCCCGGGTCTCATTGGCTGAGACAGCTGTCGATCACAACCAGTCAACCAATGAGGAGAAAGAGGGGTCAAGGCCAACCTGCGGCTCCGTGTGTGAATGGACAAACCGAACAGCGGCTTGGGAATACACCTGCTCTGGTGCCCCATAACAGGCTGCTTGATGTGGGGGCACCTGAAAGAAAGGAGGAGCCAGGAGTGCCGGCAAGGGACCCGAGGACGATCCAGGCTGCTCTGTGAAAAACTACTGCACACAGTAAGTTCCGAAGGAAAAAAAAAAAAAAAAAAAGGATAACTTTTAGAAGCTGATTAGCTACCTTGCATAGCTACAGATTTTGCACTCTCCAGTTTTAGTAAATCAATCCCAGAGTGTTTACAATAAGAACTCCATGTACTCTGGATTCTCACAGCAGACACCTTCCTCTTCATATTCTTCCCAGCATGGTTAGAATGACAGCAAACAGCCAATCGACAACTCTAGGGATTCAGATAGTTCTTGTTTCAACCCTGTCCATACACAAAGCAAATGTCATCCAGTTCCAAAAATTCAAACCACTGGTGGCTCTGTTGGCATCTTTCTAAAAAAAAAAAAAAAACAAATTTAAGCGCTGGATGAAAAATTGTTGCCCAAACAGAGGCAGACAGTCTTTGGGTATTCTGACAGCTGTGTGAACTTGCTATCAGAATACAATAGCCAGCAGGTGAGATTCCTCCATCCATGCTGTTCAGTGCAGATGAGCAAACTGATAGATTTCTCTCATTCAGTCCATGGGGCTGAGCAAGATAAATCTTAGTGTATGGGCAGCTTTAAAAACTTTGATAAATTAAACTGATCATGTTTCTAAAGATTCAATAACATAATTAATATAGTGCTGCACAGAATTTTTAAGTGTCCTCTTCTAAGCATGGAAGCACAACTAGTCTTAGCATGCCATGCTGGAATTAGTAAAATCAAAGGGTAGCAGACTGACCTTTTAGTAGAGAGAAGACAAGGCTTGGCTCTTCACAGTGTGCTGACCTTGAAGCATTTCTTCAGCTCAGTTTAAATTGAGAGTATAAAATTAGAGGCAGTTAAATGGGAAATTACAGCAAGGTCTGCTAGTTCTGACTTCTTCTGAAATGCCACAGGTCTTGAGATAAAGTAACCCATTGAACAAAGCATGACAGTCTAGATCCGGTTGTTTGGTGTCCAGAGAAGATTATATAACACAGTGAATAGAAAGGGGTACAGTTTAGTTTAATTCTGTACTGAGGAACTCTGTCTGCCAAGAATGCTTACAATGCCTGTCTCTCCTTTCCTTCTTGCAGGTATGAGGATGAAATCAACAAGCGCACTGCAGCTGAGAATGAGTTTGTCGTGCTGAAGAAGGTACATTCTTTTACCTGTGTAGCCTGGGTGCAGCTTTTATTTCAATAATATATCCAGGTCAAAAACACTGCATCAAAGACTTTCAGCCACTGTGGAAGGCAAAGGTTAATCTGGCATGATACAAACTGCTCAGAAAGATGAGTTTGAGTCTGAGCAAACTAGTAGGCATGGAGATCATACACACCGAGACTGCAAAGTCCAGCTCCGTTTATGGTACTAATAAGTACAACCTTAGTGGTTTATTGGTACTGCAGTGCAAACGATAACCCATGGCAGCCAATTCGTTTTCCTGTTTCCTTATTAGAGAGGACAAACAATGAAATAACGGCCATTTTTTTTTTTTTCACTCTGTTACTGCATTTTTTACATTATATCTTTGCCTTTCAAATAAGTCTGATATAATATATAACTATATATATATATATATATATATATCTTTTATATATATATATATATATATATATATTCATATTCACATAGGAATGAATGATCCTACACATAAGATACATGGATCTCCATTTTAATAATGAAAAATGTTTCAGACCTTTTTTTTCTTTTACAGACACTCATTGCTTACTTCAATACCCAAGTTTTATTGCATTAGGAAGGCATAGAGCTCCAAATGTTATCTTCAAAGTCATTCCTTCTTAGTTTTGTTATTGAGATGTATACATTTTCTTGAATGACCTCTTTAAGCTAAAAGGCATTATTAGAATTTCTTTTAGTCTGAATAATAAGCTATTACGGTATGCATTAATTGGTCTGCTCTGCTCTTTCTTCTGTGTATGCAGGATGTGGATGGTGCTTACATGAACAAGGTAGAATTGGAAGCCAGGGTGGATTCTCTCAGTGATGAAATCAACTTCCTGAGAGCCTTGTATGAAGCTGTAAGTAACTTATGTTTTATCACAGTGGCCAATGCTCTATAGAAAACAGCATTTTGTGTCTTGGGGTCATCAGCTAATTTTCAAGTATGATTACTCCCCTTTTTTTTTTTTTTTTTTTTTTTTTTTTTTTTTCTCTTTTAAGTATTACATGTGCATATAAAGTTGCTCAGCAGAAATGTATATGAAGACTTGGCTTATATAACTGCTGTATGGAGTGATATTTTAGCTTTTATATAGTAGTTTTTATGATAGCCTGTATGGCTGTAGTAGGCAACAACCAGCTCTCCATTTGCTGCAGAAATACAAATCCAAGTATACTGGTATTTGTAGACTTGCAGCATCTGAAGATCTCTGTTGTATGTATCACTCCAAAGCTATAAGTATTTGTCAGTTATATCTCTCACAGGTGGATGTAATCTTGAATCGATATGAGAAACTTGCCTCTATAATAAAAAAGCAAAACAAAAACTAATGCTGATATTTGTTTCATTAAAGGAACTACGTGAGCTGCAGGCTCAGATCTCTGACACATCTGTTGTCCTGTCTATGGACAACAACAGAGCTTTGGATCTGAACAGTATCATCGCTGAAGTCAAGGCTCAGTATGAAGAGATTGCTGCGAAGAGCCGTTCAGAGGCCGAGTCTACTTACCAGAACAAAGTAGGTTAAAAGTTCATACAAATATTGGGCATATAAAGTACATGTATTAGAATGATAGCTAACTGTGCCATTACTGTCCACTAACAGTACCAGGAGCTCCAGGCCACCGCTGGCCGTCATGGTGATGATTTGCGCTCCACAAAGACTGAGATCTCTGAGCTGAACCGCGCTATCCAGAGGTTGCAGGCTGAGATTGAGAATGTGAAAGCACAGGTAATTAAAACCATCAGAAAGCAGAAAAAAACTTATTAGTGAATCCGTCTGACTACATGTCTGACATATTGTAATTTTCAGCAGGTTATCTTTGTTTTTTTACCTGCTTGGCTGCTACAGATGATCTGGTATGACCATTATAGAAAGAGATTAGATGGGGTAGCCATTTAGGCTTACAGCAAGTGTATTAGGAGAAAGAGAAATCCCCCATCACTGCATGCTTACTTAACATAAACTTGTGCTGTATGTATGTAGAGCAAGGAAAGTTCATGTTAATAAGGACTTTCACAAACGTATACTTACTGCCTTTTCTCTAGGTTGCTCCATTCATCTGCTGTGAGTAAAGGGAAAGCCCTGTGTAAGGTTCAAGTCACTGGATCCATAGATTACATAAAGCTATGGACTCCAACGTGACAGAGTGATTGGCTAGTTGTTATCACATGGAGTGGGTCACGTGTTCCTCTATACTTGGAGGTACTGGGCTCTGAGTGGTATGGTGGAAGTGTGAGGGAAAACCTAAATGCATGCTTTTGGAGGATTAAAGCAAAGCTGTTGCTTTGTTTTGAATGTCAGTCTTTCTTTAAAGCTCATATGCCCCTTAATGACTATGGTGTCAATTTCTTACATGTTTATTAACCACAAAAAGGTTTTTGCAATGAGCAGCTCTTGCAAAGTAAAATGTCATTCTATTCATTTACACTGTAGTCATTGTATTGTCCTACATGGCATTAATATGCTTTAAATAATGTAATGCACTTGTGCTGCTCCCTTATTTATTATAATACTTCATAGCAGGTGCAATTACAGAAGATTTAATGTTGCCTGGAAGCCACAGAAAGCAAGCAGCTGACATGCATTAGGATTATTTACCGTTTTAGATCTCTTTGTAAAAAACGTAGTTTGAGGGCAGGGTGTGGATGCATGAATCATAGTGTGATCACCTGCTGCTTTTAAATAATTCAGGTGATAACATTTTCTATCTGCCAGCACAATGATCACTGCCTAGCTGCCGTATCCATCTGTTTGCTGTGTGCTTCTGTCAACTCATCACCCTACTCTGTCGTTTCCTTCACAATCTGATATTGTAACTTTTGGAATACTGGGTGCAAAACCAAACACATAGTGCTGCAGTTGGGGAACAGAATGGTGCAATGTTAGTAAGCACCTTGTTTCTTTCTATTTTCAGCGTGCTAAGCTGGAGGCACAGATTGCTGAGGCTGAGGAACGTGGGGAACTGGCACTGAAGGATGCCCGGGGGAAACTGTCTGAGCTGGAGACTGCTCTACAGAAGGCCAAGCAGGACATGGCTCGCCAACTGAGAGAATACCAGGAACTGATGAATGTCAAACTGGCTCTGGATATTGAGATTGCCACTTACAGGAAACTTCTGGAAGGAGAGGAGAGCAGGTAAACTGGGGAAGATGGTCATAATAAATATATAAAGGTTTTTTTTTTTTTTTTTTTTTTTTTTTTTTTACCGAATTACATATTTATGTTAAGAATAGTCCTAGTGATTTGCCCTTATCAGTAGTACCACCTTGTAAGTCATATCAACCAGAATGAGATATTCTAAGCACAGTCACAGAATGTGCATCATTGATCCTCTATTCATTGTTTTATTTTTTTTTTTTCTCTTGTTTGTTTTTAGGTTGGCTGGTGAAGGTGTTGGCGCTGTCAGTGTGTGTAAGTATCTCTCTGTGTCTACACATACAGTGTTAAATTGGGCAGTAGATCCTATATAATATGTTGGCTTATTTAACTAGGCAACAAAAAAGGTAGATACACATTTCAGAAGGTTTGTTGGCTAATGGAGGCAGGCATGGTATTTTCCTATACAAGTCTGCATCTTGCTACTTCTCCTTTGGAAATCCATTACAGGTAGACTTTGCTAAACATTCTGTTCCCTCAAATGATCCAAATATTTAATAATATTCTCTAATAAATTAAGCTGATGCTGATAGAATTGTGTGGGCTGGCACTGCTGAAAATGCTTGTTATCTTCAGCTTCTCTGAGTCATTGAGCCAAGACAAACATGCAAAAATGTTCAATAGCGCAACAAGTAGGGAAGCCAGTGGATCAGAATGACAGCTAGCACTTTCAGAAGTAGAGGGCAGAATTTATATTTATTGCACAGATCAGTGAAGTATAATGCTTCTGAGTGATACAAGAAGCTCTTTTACATAAAGGTTTCTTGGTCCTTTTGTGGATGACTAACAGTGTTTCCAGTATAACCTAATGTATATTTTCTTTTTTTAACAGCTGTTGTGAACTCTAGCTCCTCAGTTGGTGGCTACGGTGGATCTACCTTTGCAGCTGCACCAAGCTTTGGTTTAGCAAGTGGAGCCGGGTTTGGATCCGGTAGCTCTCTGAAGTTCAGCAGTGGAGGTGGATCATCCGGTGCTGTGTTCAGCAGTGGAGGTGGATCATCCGGTGCTGTGAAGTCCTACTCCGTGACTACCCAATCCTCCAGCAGGAGCAGCTCAAGATACTAAGAAGCTTTTGTGTTTCTTTTTAATGACATCCTTAGCGCTATCCATACCCCCGTAATGTTTTTTTTTGTTTTTTTTCAGTACACAGGCCCAGTATTTTAATACTGGGGTTCTGTTACATCCAGTAACTTCAGTGAAAGGCTTTTATCATGCTAAGACTACGCATATGCATCTGTCCTTTTAGATAAGGTTTGGGGGTCTGTTTTGTTGCTAGGGTTGTCTGAAGCACCTTTCTACTTGCCACCTTCTTCTTTGCTTCTTCTTACTGCCCATAAACCTATGCTCTCCCTGAGTGTGTCACCAGTGGCCTTTGTTACAACTGGCTGGTGGTTGTAAGATGAAGCGTGGTCTGTCCCACAAAGCTTGAGGGCTTGAGACCCTTATGAAATAGAACCTCTGCAAGTCAATTTTGGTCAATGATGACAATGAAGCTGATGCCAACACCCCAAAACAATTCAATTTCTACAGTATTTCTGGGGGGAAGGGTGAAATTTTACAGTTTATTGTTGCAGAGAGAATTGCCATGATTGTATATAAGAGTTGAGATACATGGTGCTATTCTTCACCCTTTAAACCTCATAAAGCCTGTTCAAATGAAAAAGTCACTGATGCTTTTTACTAAAAGTTTGTACCTGCATCTTATGCAAGAAGCAGCACTGGAAAAGCATGTCCACTCTAATGTCTGGTCTGTGTTAGTTGGTGGAAGTCTTCTGACTTTTGTGGAGAGGGATTTTATGTGTGGGTGTGAAATTGTGAAACATCTCTTAATAAAATTCCTTCCAGTTCATATATTCTGCGTCTGGATTTTATATCTTTTAATATGAACTTTGTACTTGTGTAATATAGCTCTGAAGCTAAAGGGTGAATGGGCTTCTGATTAATTTTAGCCTACTTTATCCTTTTCTTTCATGGATGTCTGAAACATTTCACTTATAAAATAAAAGGTAAATGCTGATAAACATTTTCTTTAAAAACTATCAGGTTGTGATAACATTAACATATCTTATATTTTTTTCAGCTAAACCAAGCAAACCATAATAGTATAATACATTGACATACACTTGGCATATTTTTAGTACATGAAAGCCATGCTATTTCCAGGGCTGAAATAGTGAGTGGCGGGTGCTAAAACAATACTGTAGTCTATTTAAGGTTGACTTGAACTCAAAAAGTGAAGACCAGTTATGTTACAGGAAACTTTTAGAAATTTCAGTTATACCTAAGAAGTAACCTGAAAAAAAAAGTACCCCCTCTTCTTTTTTTTTTTTTTTTTTTTTTTTACCTCTTCCAGAGTTCAGACATTCTTCAAGGTACTGCCAATGATGGGAAGAGATGACTGCACACCTCAAAACATAGCTAAAACTCTGTCATCTTTATTTCCATCAGTTAACAAAAGGACATCGGTAGGACACCAGCACATACAGTAAGGTTTACCTTATCTCCAGCACAAAGGTCTGTGGTAAATCGGACCTGCACCTCATGTTGTGTCTGGGCAGTAAGTGGTAGACAAACTTTGAGTGGTGCATTCTTTCTTTTCAAGGTACCCATTTACAGACGAGTTATTGGTCAAGTCCCCTTAGACCTAATGTGCTTCACAAATAATAAAGTATGGATCATCTGCACATCACTTTCCTGCTTAAAGCGATACTAAAGGTTCATTTATTTTTTTAATATAAAATAACATACGGAGTTCTTATTGTAGACACTTTGATTTACTAAAACCGGAGAGTGCAAAATCTCTAGCCGTGCAAGGTAGCTAATCAGCTTCTAAACTCAAGCAATTCTAAAGGGTTTTTTTTTGTTTTTTTTTTTTGTTTGTTTTTTTTTTTTGAACCTGTGTGCAGTGGGTTTGCACAAAGCAGCTTGGATCCTTACCTTCTCGGGTCCCTCGCAGGCTCTTCTGTATCCTCCTTTCTGTCGGGTGCCCCCATAGCAAGCAGCTTTCTATGAGGGCACTCGCTGCTACGTGTGGCCATTCTCACACACACAGCCACTGCATGGCCCCACACCCCTCTCCTCATTGGCTGACTTGCTGTGATTGACAGTGGGAGCCAATGGCTCACTTGCTGTCTCAGCCTATGAGGAAGCAGAGACCAGGGACACACTGTTGATGTCGTGCACATCACTGGATCTTGATGGGGCAGAGGTAAGTATTGAGAGGGCTGTCATTCTGATCCACTGGCTTCTGCTGTACACAGAAGGTTTTTTACCTTCATGCATTCTATGCCTTTACAACCAATTTAATTGTTATCTGCCTGGATATTGTTAAGATGTGAAGGAAAATCAAGTTGCATGATCGCCTAACAATATTAATGTTTAACGGGGAGCGAACAATTGCCTTGGCCTTTTAAAGACAAGACTGTCCGTGATTGGAGCTGAAGCTGGTTAAGCAGCCACATGGGTGCTTTTTGTCATTTTGAGTCTCCTGTAGAAACCTGGGCTATGAAAACATTAACCAGTTTTCATGCTGGCTTGGTCTGACTCCCTCTCCCACCTCTTCAGTTTATGGTTAGGGGTTGTGCATGATAATGATGGCCCAGTGGTAAAGCCAAAGAGTTTTTGCTGCGTTTCTGGGGTGCAGAAGATGCACACTGACATGCATGTACCTAAACCTGTCTCTTTTTTTACAGCATCTTAGTTTTTCTTTTTTAATAGGCATCAGGTTTGCTTTAAAACCGGGGACATAACTACAGATATAGCTTGTCATATGATTGCTGGAACATCAGTAGAGCCTAGCTGATTTAGTCCTGCAGCAAAAGCATCTTGATGAATGTATGTTGTACGTACAGCTCTATACAGCTCAGGCAGCTCTATCCAATTGCTATGGAAGGATTTACTATGCAGAAGTGTTCTTATTTTAGAACAGCATATCGCAGAGTATTTTGTTACCTTTCAATAAAGGCTGAAGAAAGAGGGGACTCTGTAATGAATAAGGTGTGGGGCCTCCTTTCCACATAGTTATGTTTCTGTTTAAAACAACTACCATGAAAGAACAAACTTGTTTTATCATGCTCTGCTTCTTTATAATGTACATCTAGTCAGCTTAAATAAGGGGGTTATTCAGAATACCCTTTTAATGTTTTCATTATTCCAATTAGATGTTTATAACGAAGGTAGGGAATTTAATCAATATACTCCTTAGAAGCATTTTGTTGTATTGGTTTCTTTATATGACTTTATAGGCTACATGATAACATTTTAACACAGAAGCAACAATTTTTGCCTCCAAATCATACATAAATATCCTGATTTAACAAGTGTTAAGGCTAGAATCATACTAGCCAGCAGTCTGCGGGTGCAGAAATTGTACTGTTCCCACAACCAACCATAGCCGAATCGCGCAGCTCTTGTGAGGCGTACAAGACTGTCATTCATTCTGAATAGCACCCCCACTCATCTCCGCTCGCAGTGTGATTACGGGTATGGTAACCACAGGGAAACTGCATGGTCATAAAAGACCATGCAGTTTCCCTGTGGCTGTATTTTCCTGCAGGAAATATGGCACAACAGCCTATTAAAATTAATGGGCTGCTGTGCCCGAGCAAACGCAGTCCAGGCATTCCCTAATAGTGTAAACCAGGGCCAAATCAGACCCTGTATCTCAACAGTAGGCAGGCCTAGGGAACTTTCAGCTGGTTTCCAATGAGTTGGCCAAAATTTGCTCCATGGATGGCCATCTTTGTTGCTACCCTCCTGCCCAACATCTATTGAGTGAAAAGTAGAAGGGAGCCTGATTGAAAATTGTTGGTTGAATGTCAAAATAATATTAGCAAACCCACTCTGTGCTTAATGGTAACTGCAATCCAAACAAAAAGTAAAATCAAATAATGATAAACTGGACTAAAAAAATGAATAAAATAATAAATAGTGATAAAAAATCCAAAATAAAAAAACAAAAGAGCAGCAGCTGTATAGAAATACCCTTAGATGACCATAAATATAATGCTAATCCTCGTATACAGTGCTACACTACAATAATACAGTGTTCATAAATAAATGAATAATTATCCTCCAAAAAGTGTTCATAAATGTGAAATGTGTCTATCCCACTTACTTGAAAGCTACAAATGTGTAACTGAAACACATTTCCATTTGATTAAGTGAGCAGTCCAATTTTCTTGTTAACTCCTTATATGCAGACTTCAAACAAACGTATTGAAACTTCTTATTCACCACTGTGAACGAAATCCCAATCTGGTGCAGCCCACCACCTACTTATGGTCTCACATTCACCAGCTCTAAATGCCCAATTTGAAATCAATTGGGCTAAAACAGCACAGCACAAGAATACACCAAAAAATGGATGGATCTCAGAGTTTCCACTTTCCTTTTTGATGTTTCCTGGTGCTCATAGATTAATAAATATGCACAGATGTTCTCAAAAGACAATATAAAGTGATATTGTAAAAAAAAAGAAAAAAAAAAAGGACAGTAGTGCTGGGTCTTTTTCCTCTCCTGGCAAGCTGTCAGCAATGTAGATGTGAGTTGCGGCCACTTTCTCACTCCATCGTACACACAGCTTAATGCATACTAGCCCATCCATGTAAGGCAACCACTTCCCTGATGTTTCATCAGTGTAAAACTTTCTCAAAGGGTCTTCCAATCAGATGCAGGAGGTATTCACTATTCTGACACTGGTGTCAGCTGCCAGAATACAAAAGCTGCAGCCTCGCTGTATAATGTGGATGAAGGAATCTGTTTAACCCAGAGGTTATAAAGGTTAAAAGAAAACAAATCTGTGTATGCTCAGCTTTGCTCTTTCACTCAATTAGATTTTTTTTTTCAAAATGATATCTACATAAGGATTAGTAATCTGCTGTATGGTAGCAACAATGGTATATTATAATAAGGGTGAAATGCGCTGCTGCCCAGGGCCTTCAATTCAGGGAGGGCCATGAGGATGCAAAAAAGTTTCTGCACTTTAGTGCTGTTGATAGTAAATGTTGATAGTAAGTTCACCTTTGGAACATGTTACATGTTCCACCTATATTAGGGGGGGAACA